ATTTAAGCTCTGAGAAGGTTGTTTTGTTATACCAATTTCTTTTCACGTCCCAGCTACATTTTACTATGAAGAAATCACTGATATTTTTGACTGTTCTCGCCGTAGTAGTAGCCTGCATGGTGGGTTGCAATGGCGACACATGTTCTTGCACATGCTGTGCTGGCAATTCTTGTACACCAGTCTTGCAAGGCTACATCACTCTCTCATCTTGTGGTACGTCGTCCTGTGAGTTCGCATGTAGAAACAGATATCCACAGCAATGCGTTGTTGGACCAGGCAGTTCCCGTTATCAATGCCATAATGGTGATATCCCAGCAGCTAACTGGGCCGGCGTATTCAACGTGGCAAACCAATGTGATCAAAGAACATGTTGCTGTCTTGTAGGACAACTGACTATTTCGCGTGTGGATACCAACAATTTACGTGTTCAGTGCTCCTTGGCTGGTCAAGTATGCCCTTCCGGAGTATCATTCCTCGATGACACGATTGCGATGCCTATTGGTCGTGATACTCAAATAGCGTTCATGGGCAATGCAATTCGAGTCACGCTGAGCCAAGACGATCGAGTAATTGAACTTAACAATCCAGCGTTTCCTTCATGTAGTGGCTCAGCTGTGAGAAATGAAGCTCCTTCACTAGCAGCTAACTGGGCCGGCGTATTCAACGTGGCAAATAAATGCAATCAAAGAACATGTTGTTGTCTTGTAGGACAACTGACTATTTCGCGTGTGGATACCAACAATTTACGTGTTCAGTGCTCCTTGGCTGGTCAAGTATGCCCTTCCGGAGTATCATCTCTCGATGAGACGATTGCGATGCCTATTGGTCGTGATGCTCAAATAGCGTTCATGGGCAATGCAATTCGAGTCACAATGAGCCAAGATGATCGAGTAATTCAACTTAACAATCCGGCGTTTCCTTCATGTAGTGACTCAGCCGAAAGAAATGAAGCTCTATCAACAGCTCCGATCAATATAACACCCATGTCTCTGTTAGTTGGACTGATGAGTGTCAAGCAGTTCATAATGTGAGAAACTCGATCTTTTCTTAAACCAGTTCGTAACAAAATAAACTAACATCACTGTGCCAATAGGCATCTTATCTTATGTGATATCTTTTCTTTCTTAGTGTGTTACTATACAATCAATGATATGTAGTGTTCATAATCGCGTTACGGCTACGATCATCTATGCATGATTGAACCTTCTTCTCATTCTACATTATCATTCACTCGTATATTATATATGCGTTCTCTCCTTGACCTCACTACCTTTTTATTCTTACGTTGTTCTCTTCTTGGCCTCATCTTCTATCTTTTCATCATCGCTTGTTCTGCTCATGTATATAAACGTGTGCTTTATCTGTAAACGAGGCGATTGTATGATATGAAGGAATAAACTAAAGTGTAATATCATCAACACGAACAATCCTTCTATCATTAATCGTCAGATGACGATAATATGATATGAAGAAATGGAAGAAAGTACATCTCCACATACACTATCTTCCCGTCCATCATCATTTTTCGTCACTATCACTATTATTCATGATTTGAATTTCATACGTTCAATAAATTGATTTCCATGTCTGTTCGTATTTTATCCCGCTGTGATTCGTCTTTCTTGGCAGTAGCGATGCATGAATGAACAAAAAAAATACTATTACAAGAAAATATCAGATGTCATATAACGAAGCACAAGACTTTCATTCGCTAGCTCCCTTCTGCTTCTTTGTTCCAAGTATCTTTCGCATTTCGAAATCTCAGAGCACTTCAAGAAATGATTTCAGGTTTCCGATCATGTTCCCAACTTTTTGGTGGTTCGATAAGACGTTCTGTTGAGGGTGAGAGTGAGTCAAGTAGCCATGATCGCGATTTCGTCCTTGCTTAAGGGACTCATCAGATGGCTTGGACTGTTGCAAGACTAATTCTATTCAAATGATCCAAGAGAAATCACAAATAAGAATTGTTCTGTAGCAACAGTCATCGAGTCAGTTGCAAGAAACACAGCTAGATAAAGTTTTCACAGAGGTGAGTTTACAAGAATATGAATCCAAGCTACTTACGACGATCGTTAGGTCCTTGCTTAAGGACCATCATCAGGTAAGAATGGAATTCGTATAATCTGCATGGATAATTGGTTTCTCAAATCAAAAGATAGTTTATGAGAGTTATGAAGCTCTCAACCGATCGATAAACAGATCAATCTATATTCAGGCAGAATACAAATTAATCTGGTGGTCTCAACTCTTGCGTTTCAGCAACAAATCTTTCTATTGGCGAAAAATTCAATTAATTGAGAAATACCGAGATTGTAATGCAGATGTTCAAATTCGCCGACGCGTTTCGTGTTTATTTGAAAATTTGAAACACTCTTCAGAGCACGGCATTATATAAAAGCATCTTAGTGAATAAATGAAATGAAAAAAGAAGTGAAAAAAGAAAAAAGTTGATAAGGGATGAATAATCTTGAGGGTGAAGGTGAGTTAACAAGAATGATTCCAAGCTACTTACGGCGATCGTTTCGAATGGGCTTAATCATTCACCATTAGGCAAGTTCGGAATACGATGATCTGCATAGGATAATATGTGTATGTATCGAATTCAAATAGAAAGTTATAAGTGTCATCACTGCATTGACAACACTTAACATCAATCCAATGTTGAGAACGAGATTATCGTAGTCGCAGAATTCTCGAAACGGTGAGCTTACAAGAATGAAGATAGGATTAAAGATTGAAAGCATCACACGCCTTTCGTTCTTTCTTTAGGAACTCATCAGGTATGTTTACAATCTATTATTACATTAAAATTAAACTCTCCAAAATATAAAATTTCGAAGAAGCTATGATCAATCGTAATAATTCCAAAATCCATTCAAGTATGAGCAAACATTAGGTTTCAGTGTTGTCTGACACAATATATTTTCAGATGGTTAAATTCCATCACGAAGACGAAAACTGCTCTGCTATTGCCAGAAGGCAATAGTGTCAGAATACCCAAACAAAATCTTCAAATGTAAGCAACCATGACTTTGACGTTGAGGGTGAGGGTGGGGGTGGGGGTGTGTGGGGTAAGGGTGAAGGTGGGTGAGTTTATAAAATATATGAAAAGAAATCCAAAACAAACGCCGAAGACTTCATCTATTCACGACAAATACGCGACTTCAAACAACCATATCCAAATAAATATGTCTCAATAAGTACGAAGACTAGTCGAGAAAGATGAAACCAGAACAGGAATCGAACCCATATCTGCCGATAACCGGTCGGCTGCTCTATCTTTAAGCTACCTGATTTTGTGAAACACGATCGAAGAGAAGTGTTGAAGTTTAAGGATAGAAAAAGTGAACCCGCCCTCCCTTCCTCCCCACTGAGGGTGTGGGGGTGTGGATGAGGGTTGGTGTGGGTGTGGGGTGTGAATGTGGAGGTGCGCATCTGGGTCCGAGTGGGTGTTGGCGTAGATCTGGATTTCATAAACACTCACATCAACACCCACGCCCACGACCACACCCACACCCACACACCCACACTCACACCCCACCCTAAATCACTCCAGCGTGTTTTACATTTTAATCTTGAAGGAACTACCGTGAAAGTTTTCTTGTTTGGTTTGTTATTCTTTGCTCATTCCTCCTCTCAGTTCATTTTTCTGTAATATCTGATCACTTTCTATTCTGTTCTGGATATAGTCGTTTTCCATTATTCACAATGAAAATATTGATAAAATGAAAAATTCATCAATATAATTTGCGTCAACTGCTATCAGACGATGAGGCGAGTACTGCAGGCGTAGAGTAGGTGGCTATACGGAAAACTGCGACACATTACCGCGTAACTACGATTTTGTTTACCGTAAATACGCAAAACTACGAATTTTCTGTCGCAGTTGCGCATAACTACATCGTAATTTTTCGCAATCACGGGTCACAGTGTGGTCGCAGTAACGCCGTAGCTACGCCGCAATCTTATCGTAATGAAATACATGGGAAAGATCACGTATGTCTATTCTGACTTCTAAATGTACAAAAGCAGTTTTAACACTGACTTTTCAAAAAAGGATCGTTTAAATTAAAATAGTTTTCAGGAACTGATGAGAGAAGTTGATCTCAACACAGATCGATGCAAGATAACCTCGAGAAAGGAGATGAGATGCACTTCGGTAACCATAACAAGGATTTTAGAACAAAAAGTTGAAAACCTCTTGAAAATGGACACTTTTGGATGGTCCCTTGGGTGTCCATTATAGAGAGGTTGTACTGTATGTGACTCCAATGTTCAACTTGATTCTCTGCTATCGTCGATGCAGACTCAGAAGGCGTTCTATCCTAATGACAGCAGTGGTGTAGTATCTCGAAATAGTGGATTTTATATATTCCCGTTGGACTTTGTATATTCCCTCTAGCATCTCGAATATGTGGATTTTGTTTAATCCCGCTGATATATCCAAAAACTCCGCTTGAAAGTGAGGGTGAGGGCGAAGGTCTAAGTACCGCGAATGCGTATCAAAATCCCGCTCTTAGAAGCAAAATCCACATTTTTTTATTTCACTGCCATCCCTCCCTAATGAGGGAGTTATTCAGTCTCAGGTGCAGCAGCACATACTGTGGGTGCCACAAGATCTTGATTCAGTGTTTCCTCTGTGTATCCTATTGGACAAGAATTCCTTTGATTTCAATCAAACTAACTAGAAGCTCGAGTGTTCTCTTCAAAAATGTATTCGTCCTATTGATTTTTCGTTGTAAAACGAAAGAATATGTCTTAACAAAATAGCAATCTCTTTCAAGAATTCAAGGCAAAAATGAATGACATTCATCCGTCTTCGATGTAAAAATGGCAAGATGCTTTCCAGTTTCCTGAGTATTTGATCAGACTGTGCTGTTCTGTCTCGTTAGCTGTGCTCGCGGCGGCCTTTCGTGAAATCAGTGCATCCATTTGGCACAAGTACAATAGTTCCTCACTATATAAGACATTTGACTCTTTCAGTATCAACGGTGGATCATATGCATATGTCTCTTCGTCATTTAAAATATCGATCAACCATTAGATTTGAATATCCAAGTACGCTTGATCAAAATCCTGGTGACATAGTTCTCGCATGGTTTGAACGCGAAAATGGATATTATACTTATCGACTAGAGCGTTCTTCTTTATGTACATGGTTTGATAAATACGCTAAGATATCCTAAGAAAAGCGACTAATCAGTAGTACGAATTGTCTATATTTTTTTATCCGGATTTCATACACTGGATGTTTTCATGAAATAAATAAAGTTCTGTTTATTTTTGTCTTTTTCTCACATAGATTGAAGAATATTTCTAGTCTCAATCTTGTCCGAATGATAATTCATGATGAATCAGTATTTCTCTCAGTTCCTGCTCTGACTGAAAAAACTGGCGGGCTCCAGAAAAAGTTGTTCAACAAAAATAATAACCACAAAACAAAATCGTCTAGTATTATATAATTAGTTTAACTATTAAAAAGGAAAAAAACAATGCTGTGTTATACGAAGCTCATTTCATCTTTACAGACAACATTCTGTCCATCACCTTTCATTTGAGGTTGAAATGCGTTCGATTATCTTGTCAGAAATTATCTCGGGCTTGTTTTCGGTCTCTAACTCGTAACATAATATCTGTTCGTTTTTTTCGATTTTTTTTCAATTTTTTCTTGTTAAATATTCAACAAGATATCTAAGAATGTAATGAAATTCTAAATAAACGTCACTACTTTATGAGAGATAAGACTAACAGTATTTCAGAATTAATACAAACGTTATTTTAGCAAGCGAATGATGATATCAATACAACAACTTCATGTTTGAAAAAACTCAAGCTTAAGTCAATTATAATTCACCTTCAAACTTTTTTCTTTTACCGTCAATATTTATTACACATATCATTGTTTTTTTCTATTGGCACAGTATAAGTCACATCTCAAATGTCATTCTCCGTTACATATTTCTACAGCACTGTATATGTGACGACATATTCTCTTTTTTTTCATATATACACGATCGTGCCATATATGTGGTCGAAAGAAAAATTATAGAGGAAAGAATTTACAAAGCAGAAAAATTCATCTACTCTTCTATTATAGAAAACCAATCAAAAAGAAAAATATTTTATGAGAAAAACAAAGTTCTAGAGTTTGATTCGTCTACGGAGATAAGCGTGCACTCATTCAATCGTGTTAATTATTCACGCTGGAGCAGTGACGGATTTAGGAAAAGGAACGAACTACTAGATTGCTCTTTTTTTTCGATTTTTCTGAATAGAACTGAACGTAAAACAACTTCATACTACTTTGGTTGAATCCCCAAAATCTTTTTTTCACAAGACTACCTCGTACCCTTGTAAATATGGGGATGTGGGTGTGACTGTGGGTATGGGGGTGGAATGTGGTTGTGGGTGTGGGTGGGGGTGGGGTGTGGATGTGGGTGTGGGTGTGGGATGTGGTTGTGGATGGAAGTGTGGGTGTGGGTGGGATGCGGGTGATTGTTAGTCTTCTTTCTATGAAAACTCACACCCACCCCCACCCCCACCCCCACACCCTTATCGTTCTTTTCGGTATTATTGGTAGTATTCTCAATACTTTAGTTCTTTCTCAACGAAATTTACATTCAAATTCTTGTGCATCTCTTTTTCTTGCTACATCAAGGGCAAGTTTGATTGCAATTATTTCTGGTCTTTTCACTCGAACAACATCCGGTTGGGCAATTGATTTAATAAATACTATAACATGGCTTGGTCAATTACGTACTTTCTTAGTATTTGCTTCAAGGACAATTGCCTATTGTCTTATTGCATTAGGGACAATTGATAGATGGTTATCATTATGTTTTGATCTTCGTCGACGACAAATGAGCACAATAACAAATGCTCAACGAGGAATGATAATTATTTTAATCTTTTCATGTCTTCTTTATATTCAAATGTTTTATTGTTATGAAGCAAATCTTTTCAATGCTCCACTTAAATGTTATGGAAAAACAATAGCATGTTGTCTTGTAACTGATCTCACTTATGCATTTGCTGCTAATATATTTCCTTTGATTATTATGCTTTGTTTTGGATTAATGACTATTATAAATGTACGTCAAGCTAAACGTCGAATTCAAATTATAAATACGACAAGTACATCAGGAGTAACAATAAATATTTCCCGACGATCGAAAAAAACTGATTATTATCTTCTTTGTATGCTTTTTGTACAAGTGATTCTGTTTGCTGTATTTACTCTACCTCAAAATATTCAAAAATTTATTGCACTTGCTCAGTCAAATCAAACTCAAACAGCATTGGATAATGCAATTGCAAATTTTATTTTTAATTTTTTTCTATTTTTTGCTTATCTTGCTAATGGAATGTCATTTTATATTTATACACTTTTTGGTGGAAACGTTTCTCGAAATGAGCTCTTAAAATTAGCACAAATAGTACGTCGAATATTTTACATTTGTATTTATTGCTTTAATAAATAATATTTGTTGGAAGGCCAACGGTTATGTAACTGAGAAAATTAAAGTCTAACATAATCTTATGGAATGATGAAATAGATTTTTTGTATTACTCTACTGTTTTTTTTGGTTTTACAATGCTAATAATAGGATAATTTTAATAGGTCGAGTACGTCGAAGAAAAACAACAAGATCAGCGACACAATCAATCGAAATTTACAACATAGATCAGCCTAACAGCATCGACGAAATTTATAAAATGTAGACATCGAAAGAGTATAGAATGCCCAATGTTTTGGTATTAGAACATCTGGCACACTTGTGGTATTTGAATAAAAAAACCATTTTGAGTATTTTAGAAAATATTGTAATCTTCGTTGTCAGTAACCGTTTCGCTGATGTTGTTGCTTGTGTCCAACTTATAATTTTTCCTTTATCATGTTCATATATGTTTTTCTTTCTTTGCCTAAGAGGTAATATATCTTTAAGCATATTATCGAAAAGCTTCAGTTGTCACCGTTTAATAATTGATGATTTATTTCGACTTCCCAGCAACTTATCAGCTCTTCATATTATAATGAGTTTTGGTGCACTCATTTTTCACATCAACAACAGTGAAGTCATTAATTAATCTAATAGAACGACGTTTCAAATCTCTATCATATGTTCCTAATAGACAACTAAATATACTATTACCTAAAACTATTAATGGCTATCGAACATAATCTTAGAGCAGAAAAATATGAGAAGAAAAAGTGATGAATTATTTTTGCAGAATACTGTATGAAAACACCTTGTTTAACATCATCAACAACTATTATGACAACAACAAGAGAAACATTAAATCTATTTGATTCACATCGTTATTCGACATCAGAATTGAAAACACTAACAACAGCTACAACAATACCAGCAAATATTTTAACAACAACCGCATCAATTTTATCGACTACTCCTGTCGTATCTATTCTTCTTCAACCCACATTATCAAAAATTTCAACAAGTCATAAACGTTCATCAACACCGAAACTG